GGGGGGGGGAATCTAATAATAAAAAAAAGCCGTCCTGCGGATCTCACCCCCTCCTCCTGTCCTCCCCCCCCTCCCCGTAGCTCCCCCCCCGAGACCTCCGCCTTTAATACCAACAAACAAACTCTTCGCTCTCCCTAAAGGAGGCGCCTTTGATCGGAGCGAGGCGAACCCCGACGGGCACCGGCACCACCGGGACCTCCACGGGCATCGGTACCATCGGCACCGGCACCGGGACCCCCAAAATACCAGCACCACCGAGACCCTCCGATCACCGACACCGAGACATCGCCGTGCGCCGGGCATCACCTCCCTCTGGGTATCCCCAGCATTGACACCAGGACAGCCCCGAGCACCGGCACCGGGAGCAGCACCGGGACATCGGGCAGCCACACCGCAGCAGCCGGGCTGTGACACCACAGCACCCACCGAAAACAGGGACCGAAGCTCCCCGGGCACCGACCGCCGGGCTGAGATGCTCCCCGGTGCGGGTCCCCTCGCTTTCCTCCTCCGGTGTCTGCTGCTGCTCTTCGCCTCCGAGAGCCGAGCACGGGCTCGTAAGTAGGGGGCTGAGCCCCTGCTCCCCTCCGAGCCTCAGTTTCCCCATCTGTGGGGGTCTGCGCCCCGAGAAGGAGCGGAGGGCTTTGAGGGCGGGGCTGGGAACGTGGGAGGTGGGCAAGATGGCCCAGGCTGGGTTCCCTAACCCGGTGGAGGGGATGTGGCCGTGGCCCCTCCACCTGCTGCTGGCCCCAGCTCTTTTTGGGGATAGACTATAAGTTCAAGGTTCCTTCCCTTGGGCTTGATATTGCACAGGACAGGGAGCTGAACTGCAGCCCTGTGCCTGCACAGGTCCCATCCCACCTGGGTTCATCTGAGAATGGGTGGAGAAATGAGCAGTCTGGGGGAAATGACTCCCCCCAAAGCAAAGCTGGGGACTTTTCTCCTCACCCGTCCCTTGCTCTCTCTTTCTTCTGCTCCCAGAGTGGGATGGGGAAGGGAAGTTCTGCATGTGCTTAGACATGATGGCTTGGCCAGGTCTGCTCAGCATCTTGAAGGTAGCCAGGAGCTGGGTTTGGCTTGGGAGAGACACTGGGACCGTATGGTTAGGACCCATCGTGACCCTATGTTTATTCTCCCCTTCTATTGAAATCCCCTTCTATTGAAATCCCACTGGGCTGGTGGCTGCACTGGGGTGATTTATCATTTGCCTGGTGCCAGAGCTGCGTTAGGCTCCCAGCAAAGAATCCTCCTCCTGGAGAACAAACCCAAAACATGAGTGCTGGATTGCTTGTTCCAGGGGTTGGGAGGGCTGGGGGAAGGCAGGAGGGTGGGTCAGGATGTGAATGAGGAGTGTGTGGCAAAACATAGTGAGATTTTCAATCTCTGCTCCCCAGCACTGGGTGCAGCCCTGGAGAGCAAAATCCAGGTGAGTTTGGTTCTTTTCCCTTTCCTGGGCTTATTGACAGCTCTGAGCTCAACCCACAGCATCTGATATTGCACATGGATGTGGGTCTGATGCTCTGCTGTGTTAACTGTGGTGCCCACATTAGGAGAGGGATGGAGACATCCCCAGAAGGTGACATAGATGCTGGGTGAGGTGGAGGCACCCACCGGTGGTGGCAGAGCCCCTAAATTGGGCACAACTCAGTGATTTGGGACAGTGTGAGCAAAAAGACCCGGGCATATTCCTCAATCCCAAGAGGATCCAGGTGTGTTTTGGGGACAGGATTAGAGCCCACTGCATAGTATGGTGCAAAGGGCTCCAGGTGCCACACAGCTAAGGACAGGGGGTTTGGTGACACCATTCACTCTGCCACTCACTGCCCCACATTTTGCTCGAGGCCAAGCCCTTAGAACAAATGAATGCAGGAATAAATTAGCTCCAAGCAGTCTCATCAGACAAGAAACCTACAGTGTATCTTGGCTAAAAATAGGTGAGAAGCAGAAATGCTCGGGCTTCAATGGCAAGTCAGAAAAGAAGAATTTGCCCATAGAAACAGGCTATTTTAGGGGATTTACACTCTCAACTGGAAAAATATTGGAGGCACAGGTTACTGGGCTGAATGCTGCAGCCCGTCCTCTGTGAGCAATCCAGAACAAGAGCTTAACGCAACGGAGTGTTGGCTGGAGGATTTAAACAGCAGCATCTCTGGAGAGAGCAGGGCTTTTCCCCAGGAGCTCGGGAGCTGTTGTTCCATTGGTTTATAATGTGGCTTCTGGAGGAAGGGGCTCTGCCTGTCCTGCTTTAAACTCCTGTGCTGTGTGGGTCCGTGTGCTCCAGGATGGGAAGAACCAGGACAGAAAGCATAAATCCTGCTGGCTGCCACGGTAAGGGAGAGGTGAGGGCTGTGCACCCCGATGGAAGTATCCCCTTGGGGAGGAATGGAGGTAAATGGGGCTCCATCCACTGCTGCTGGGGCTCAGGGATGAGCTGTGAGGCTGCATCTGTGGAGCTGTGGGGATTTCCCAGCTCCCAAAATTCCAAGAATAAATGCCCAGCCCAGAGCTGAGTAAGGCGAACGTGTGGGAAGTGATCTGGACATGAGCGGAGCAGTTCAGGTGCAACATGTCAAGGGCCCAGTGTGCTTTACCCAGTCCCTTTGCTGCATTCTAAACCCTTCATAAATACCAGGCTGTCACAGGAGCGCCTGCACTTTCTACACCAGACAGTGCTTTTTACACTTTATTTATGGCCGCTCTTAAAACTTGAAAACTGGTTTGCATAAACACCCCCCGTGCCTGGCATGGTGCTGGCTGCAGGTGCCTGATCTCTGAAAAAGCCAAGAGTGTGGCTGGGATGTGGGGCAGAACTGGGGGAGTAATGTGGGTTGTGAGGTCGGGGAAATCCCAGGCTGGGATTGGAACATGAAGCATGGAGAGAAATAGGGAAGAGCACAGCATTGTGTCTTTGCTGGAAGATGCAGGATGTCTCAGTAGTGCCCTTTCTGGGACATCTGGAGTCCTTCATCATGGGATCCCGTGGTATCCAGAAGGAAACTCCCTGCTAGGGAAACTGAGGCACTGGTGGGGGAGAAAAATGGGAGAGGTTTTACCCTAGTTCTCTGTGCTTTTGGGTCTTTGGGGTACTTTAGTCTCTTTCTAGCCATGGTTCAGGCTTTACAGTGTGAACCCATGCTGGGGATGGGTATGTGAAGGCTAGAGCTATTCAAGCAATGATGTAAAAGAACTTTACAACTCCTGTGACCAATTGGAACCCTCTTCACATATCTGCCTCAGTCTAGGAGCAGGGATTTGCACGCTTGCATGTAAATGTGTGTGCATGTTGAATGCATATGGCTTGGCATCACTGAGATTCAGTCCCTGTGTCCACAGAGAAATGTCAAGGGTATAGACAAGCAAAGGATGTTTTGACAGCAGAAAGTGGGATATTGGTAGTGTTCAGATTTAATAATTTTCAGTGGTTCCTGCTAACAGACTGCTTTCCCACCTGCTTCACCCCTTGGCTCAGCCATGGGCGAGCACTGAGGCAGCAGGGTAAGTCACAGGGCATTGAGAAACCCATGGGACATCCGTGTCCCTCCAGGCCATTGCGGAGGGGATGCAGAGAACTGGCTCACATGGGCAGTGCAAAGGGGATGGGACAGCTTCAAGGGACAGATCCCATGGACATGCTGTCCTGAGGGAACTTGTACAAGTCCAGGAGATGCCCAGGGATGGAATGACCAACATCAGCTGGATCGATGGTCCATAAGGGTCTTGTGCATCCATTAAGGGAGGCTGTGGGGTACTGTGGGCTCCTCTTGGTTTGTGGTCTCTTATTGGGAAACGAGGATGTGGGATGACATCTCTGCTCCCCAGCAGTGGGATTTTCTTGGGGTGAAGGACTTTCAGTGGTCACTGAAGGCAGAAGAGAAGGGATTTCTCCATCTTGTTGAGTTTATCACCTCAGGCTGGTGTCTCTGGACCTCCTCATGAAGATGCTGCTCCAGTGGGTTCATACAGCATCTCAGAACCTCAATAGCCTCATCTGGTGCTTAAATCTTCTGGTGCTTAAATCTAACCCAGGCTTTGCCATTCCCATCATGAGATTCTCCAAGTTGTGTCTCCAAAGGTAGAGGGGTAGGAAGCAAAGAGGAGGAGAGGGGAGAAGGAAGGGAAGAGGGAAGGGAAGAGAGAAGGGGGAAGGGGGACAGGCTGACTGCTTCTATGTCCTTTTTGTCCCTGTCTTGGCCAGTGATCACTCTCTTCTTTACAACAGCCCTTGCTTGCCTTACACCCCGTCGAATTTTCCATCTCACATCACACGCTGCCCTTGCTGCTCAGGATGCTATTCATGATAATTAATGATAACTGAAGATAATTAATGATAATTAAAGTCAATAAGCCCTGGGCACAGCCTCAAGTTTTGACCAGGGGTGTCAGAGTCATGCTCCTGGCACGCTCCCCAGTGCGGTGTTGGCCAGTGCCTACCTGGGCTTTGCCAAATGCCTGGGCACTGTTTGGGGACAGCCTGTGCCAGATTGGTTTGGCTGTGAGCTGGACTGGGCGATGGCCCTTATTGGGGCAATCAGTGATTGGATTTAAGCAGATGGTGCTCACCCAAGAAAGTATTTGAGCCACGGCAGAAGGTCAGGGATGCACACAACCCATAACGGTGTGCAGAAGAGAAGGATCTTGCAAGGAGGTCTCCTATGTTTGATAAGAAAGTGGTCAAATGGGAGCTGATCTTGGAGGGCTTGGGAATGGGGAGCTCACCTCTTTGCACCTCTGCTCCTCATATTCAGGTCACACAGGGTCACTTCTGAGTGGGGAGCAAGCTTCAAACTCTGGTTGTGTCAGGGTGGCATGGGCCAGGCTGGGCTCTGGTCCTCTGCTCCACCATGGTGGAGTCCTCCTTTGGGAAGAAAAGCAAAGTGGTGGCTTTGGATTCTGATGCTGCAGCCTTGAAAGTGCTCTGCAGCTCAAGAGCTCTCCTTGGAACATGAGAAGTAAAATAAGATGACTTTTGTGAGCGTGCTATTGCCGTAGATGCAATAAATAAGGAGACTGAAAGGCACGGGAGCGATTTACTGCCACAAATGGCTTTTCACTCACAGCGAATTGGGAAGATATCCAAACGTCAACCTCTGAAAATGAAATTATTAGCCTGGCATGGGAAAAAATGATCCAGAGCCTCCAGCTTTTAAGCCTCCTCCTTCCATCCATCCCAGCTTGCTTTTAACCAAATAGGCGTACGCCTCTTGCCAACTACGCGGCATAGTGCTGCTGAGATGCCGACAAGCGTCTGCTGCTGCCCGGCGCTGCCACTCGGCTCTCATTTTACCAGCAGGCCTTCTGCAGACATGAATCAGGCTGCTTTCGAGGGCTGGACCCAAACCAGGTCTCCACTTGTGAAAAGCGAGTGATTAAATGTTTGGACGAAGCAGCCAACTGGCATGGGAGCCTGCAAGCCGAGCGGGGCTGTGTCACATGCAGGCAACTTGATTTCTTCACCCTCAGCATAATTCATGACGATACTGAAAGCAGGGAGAAATGAAGTCATTTTCTCATCCTTTTGATGATGAGTTGTTGGTTCCCTTCCCTTCCCTTCCCTTCCCTTCCCTTCCCTTCCCTTCCCTTCCCTTCCCTTCCCTTCCCTTCC